TGCCAGGGGGAATCTCGTCTCGTCTCTCTATCGCGTCCCCTTGAGGTACGGGATCGGGAAAGTCACTTATACTTTACAGTCAAATAAGACGCACACAACGAAATACGTTTCAACTCTCGTCTTAGTCGGTCTTTCGAGCACTCTAGAAGACACGGCGCCCTGGGGAAAAATCCCCAAGACTATCATCGCAAGGCTGACTCAAGACGCAGTCCTGGAGAGTTATTGTGATAGTAAACAATTCATTAAATTCATTCGGTTGAGACTCATTTCTACGTGTCTTGACTATAAATACTGTGATACTAAGTACTTGTCAATATATGTTTCTCGTGGAAACACTTTACAAAATGTGTGTCTAGTAAAATCATTTCTATAAGTGTTGTGACAATAAGCACTTGGTATACATGTTTCTGGTGGAAATACTTTTCAATACGTGTTTCTATTGGACACAAAGTGTTATGTGCAAAAACATCCCTGGCACTTTTAATTATTGCGATGCAAACAGCTTCCTACAAGTGCTTTCACGCAAAACACAAACTGAATATTACTAGTAACAAGCGATTGCAATAGAGACATGCACTTCCACTGTTATCATGGTAAAAATCATTATCATCATTTTGGAAAGTGTTAATAGGAAAATAAATCAAATGATGCCTTTCATGACCAAACACTTTGCACTAATGTACAGCAATCATAACATATCACACAATTTACTCCTGAATATAAACATTAATAAGATAAGTTTCAGGATAACATTAAAAAACAGGCGTATATAGTTGTAAAAATGAAAATCAATCACATGAAGAAGTATCCTCGACTTATGTGCAGCCGAATATGTGTGTTTACTGAAATTCAAACATTTTGTGAAACGGTTGATACAATACCCAATAAATTTGAACATTGACATTTCAAAACAAATGAGTAATGACATAAATGGAAGTACCCAATCTCTTCCCATTTGGTATTTGTTGTCTCGAATGCAGTCTCTCCGGTAGACTGTCAAAGTCGGGATTTTTTTGTTTTACAAAAAGAAATTACTAATTGTCCTTTTAGCGAAAACTAACGTGACCGCGAAAGAAATCCCGACTGGACGCATCTGCGGGCATTTGACTGCTATTAACTATTCATGATGTCATTGATTATTCATGAGTGGGTGTACGTGTGAAAGTAATCATGACCAAATGCATGGCGGACTAGTCCCGGAAACATTTGAATGTTCTGCTGCTAGTCGTATCTTGTAGTTTAGAACTGAAAATGTAGCTGACACGGGATAAACTGTTGTAATGTAGTGCAGTGTAGGTTAGAATTATGGTGGTAGTGGTACATTTACTCTCAAAAATGACAACGGAAATGTGATTCAAACATCGGAGCTGCACTCTGATTCGTTGTCAGTGCTCGTCAACAAATTTTAATTAGCATAATCACAGGAGTGATTCCGCTCCGATTTCCAACGCAGGGGGTCGCCTGCAGATGCACCCAGTCGGAATTTCTTTCGCGATTACGCTAAAAACACTAAATTGACAATTAATAATTTTTTTTTGTAAAACAAAAAAAGAGGTCCCGACTTAGCCAGACTATCTCTCCTAGGACAGCAAAAAAGTACAATATTATCAAAATCCAGTCACTAATATTTCATAAATTATCGTTATTGTTTCAAGCAATGCGATATTTGAATCAAAACTATGTGATGTGAAATGTTATTCTTGTCATAAAATAACGCACATGCAATGTGAAAACTATATGACCACACATCATTAACACGATTTGAACTTGCATTTTCCTGTTAAATTCTACCTAAAATGTTTATGATTTTATTTGGTAACTCAGATCATGTCTGAGGGATGTCGGCAAGGAAGTAGCCCCTTCGAAAAAAATGTTGCGTCAGCAAAATGTGCCCCTCAAAATACAAGATTTCAAAATGTTTAAGTGGGAGCATGCCCGGATCCCATAATAATAGGAACACCGTCGTTTACGAAAAGTATCTCAAATTATTTGAAAACTAAATTATTGATTAAACAAAATTATTGTTCAACATTTGTTTTCATATTGTATTAATGAAATTTCTAAATAACAATTAAATGGTTAAGCCTCTGTCTCGCTTAAATTATACGAAAATGTGCACATTGAGGCCTCGTTAATAAATTACTAGCTATAAGTAAATGAATTTATTCACTAGACCACAGGGAATTAACACCTGTCTGAGCGCTGTGTCATAAAGCTGACTAATTCGAGCATTGATAACAACACGGTAAATATTTAATTTCATCGGTTACTATTTATTATAAAATCAAAATTATCACAACATATGCACAGTATGTCTGATGACAATGGTGACGTATGAGAGCATTTTTTAATAATAATAATGCTGCATACAGTCGATAATAAGCACTGTGGCTATTATGGATGCATACCGTAGATGGCATGAAAAAGTGTTCTGTATATATAGTCCGGTGTTTCAGGGTGAAACATTGGACGTGTGTTTGTTTTCTGAAGTGCTTCAAAATAAAATAGTTTGGAAGAAAAGTGTTTTAGTTACTCTTATGAACTTATGTACATGTCGTATACATAAAGACTTAGGAAACATGTACAGTTGGGTGTTTTACGCTGTGTTTGCATGTGTGTTTGTGTTTATTTTTTAAATAAAATAAAATATGGTAGTGTTTAAATGGCGAAAGCCGGATTACAAGATTATTATTGTTTTCCGGATGTTAAAAACAGAGCATTATGATTTATCGTTATACATTATTGTGGTGATTTATTGAGAACTAAAAATGTTGTTTTGATGACACCCAAATAGTATTTGTTCAGTAAAATAAGTGTACAACACACTATTAATCATCATTTATTAATTATAGTTGCATAAGATTCTTGTAAATATACAATACAAACAATGTGAAAAACATTTCACGAAAGACACAACTTAATAGGACACCTAGTTTTATAGCATACAGTTTCCGTTGTTAAACCTTTCAATATAATTCAATTTTCAGAACAATAGATGATATATTCTTTCATTCTATGAATAGTTATGATTAATTTAAGATAATTTATGAGCTTAAACTAGATTTTGTTTGCGTGTGCGATCTTACTTATAAGGGACACGGTGAAAAAGACCAGCGATATTTCCGTATATGCACATGATGCTATATTGTACAGTCATCTGCTTGACACAAGGGGTTCACTGAGAACCCTTTAAGGTCAGGACCACCAATCGAACGTATCCAGATGGAGTTATTCTGTCTTAGATCGTATTAACATAGATTGTCGTGGGCTTAAATCCCGTTCGCCCGTTATCAATGACTGCCGAATGTTCAAATGTGATGCTGCCACCATCAACTGGAATTGAGTCCAGAAACGTTACATACACTGTTCTTCACCGTGATATATTGAAATGAACTGAACACGGCAAGCACATCATCACTGCAGGCAGGCGCGCCTGTAATTGTGACACACTGTCAAA